TTATGTTCGTGTAACCTAGTTTTCAATTTTTATTTTGTTTGTCCCACATATGAGGAATCACAATCAAAACAGCTAATTTTGTGTATAACATTGCATTATTCTTTTATGTCCAAATTATCTTATGAATCGATCCAAATTATTCATAGGTTTATAAGCTACATTTAGATCATTTTTGTCAGCAATTATTTTGAATTTTTCCGAAATTTCATTAAGATATGGAATTGAAAAGAACTTTTTTATATTATTATCAACAGAATGTAGATTTTCATATATATCATTTCTTTTTGACAGAGTCTTAAATCTATTATTTATGGTAGAAACTATTACATCAATAGGATACACATTTTTTAATAATACTATAATCAAATCTATAATATTATTACTATGGTATTCTGGATGTGATAGAAATAAAACTCTGTCCAGCTGTCCGATTATCACCCCTCTTTTATATGACATAGGATGATAAATTGAGAAGGATAAATTAACAATGTAATGTTATATACAAAATTAACTGTCTTGATTGTGATTTCTCATATGTGGGACAAACAAAATTGAAAACTAGATTACACGAACATAAGGTTGACATTAAAAAATCAATAAATTCTCGTTCGGTAGTATCGCTTCATCAAAGTAACCATGATTATAATTTTAATTGGGATGATATTTAAGTATTAGACTCAGAATCATCATTTTATGTAAGATTAATATCAGAAATGATTTTTATAAAAAAGCAAGTTGCTCCTTTAAATAAACAGAATAATATAGAACGTTTGCCTGTTATATATTCTTCTATATTGAACATCATGTTCCCCACACAACAGTTAAGTTTATCTCCTCTAGCTTATGTATGTAAATGGCATCTTGAGGTAGTGAGCACATTTGTTAGCGATATCTATAACTTATAATCTTGTTTTTGACGAATTTGGGTTTCTGGTTATATCTTCGATACAAGTATGTAATGTATAATTAATTCACTCTTTTTTCTAACGATAGTATATAATAAGATAAAATGAACTTGTTGTTTTATCAGAATCTGAAAATTATGTGTTCGAGCATCTAGTCATTCTTATTTAAAATAATGGACACATTGAAAATAATCTCCTAAAGGACAAACTTGTAGAATCCGTACATAATGAGCATTTTTTCACGTTAATTTTTATTTAAATGACAAGATTCAATTATCACAAATTAAGTAAATTGTTTGTAATAATAGCTTATATAATAGCTGACAAGATACGAATTTCATGATTTAAATTATTAGTAGAATGAACAGCGATAACATATTGTTGTAAACTATTTTAATTACTGTATTTATATTGAAGATGATCTAATTAAGACCGAAACGTCTATATTTTATGGTTCTTTGTTTAATAAATTGATTATTGTTTGCTGCCAATATCTTGCGTAGTGATGTATACTCTTTATAATATTGTTTTGAAATTTTAGCCACTTATTTTTGTTTATTGTTTATGCAATAAAATTATAAATTTATAAAAATAACGTTGAATCACTTTATTTTCCATATTTTTAATTTGTATGAAAAGGAAAAACATACGCAGTTGTGGGTACACATTTTGCTAAGCTGTTCAAAATGCTACCTTTCTTTTAAATCTTTATTGCATCTATATAAATATATGAATATGATTTATATTTTTTCAATGTTTACAAAAGTTTTTTCGAATGTGACCATTAATTTTTAATTTTAAATTAAAAATTTTGAATTAATTTTGAATTTTGAATTTTTAAAAAATTTATAAAATTCTCAAAGCTAGTGAGCTCAAATTGAGTCCAGTTACCTTATATCTAGATAACAATGATGAAATTGATTTAAATTTAAAGATTGATTATAGTTCTGTAATATAATTATATTATATAGCTTTCTATCAAACCATACAGAAATCCAGTTTAGTATTGGCTAATTTAATGGCAATTACTTATTTTGAATATTAAAAGCATTAGTAATAGTATTTTTAATATTTAAAATAAGTAATTAATTACTACCTTTCAGTATTAAATTTTTATAAGAGAAATTGCGAGATTGATAAATATATATATCTCTACTCAAAAAGTACATTAATGACGTATGTAGAGTAGTGGATTGATTTCATTCTTGATATTGGCAAAAGATATACATAAAAAAAAAGCTTGATATCCAGTTTAGTAGTAATTCTGACAATAAGCGTAAGTTCAAAAAGAAAAATCACATAACTCTATCGGTTAGCTGATAGAAAAAAGAATATATGAGAATATAAAAGAAAGAGAGTGAGCCAGAATGTTCGAAATGCTTTTGAACGAATCGGTGAGGCGAAGCAGGGAAACGGGAATATATATGTTACCCAAGACATTACGGAGCAAGAAGTTTATTTCTCATTGAAATACTGTCATATTTTCAGCCTGCCCGCGTAACGTGAACGCCGAATCCATGATTCGATGCCATTTCGCTGTCGCTAAGTAATAAATGTGAAAAATGGAACATTTTTATAGGAAGAACGGATTCGATGCCTCGATAGATCATACTTCCAAAGAACGTTACTACGAGCAGATTCGTGTGAGAGATATCTTAATTTATATATATATATATATATATATATTTATTCAAATTATTGCTAAATTTATTGATATAGAAAATATTTTAGCGGGTTATATCTGTGTCAAAAAAATTATATTACTGCAATGCTATATTATTTATAGTTTCAAAATACTTCATTTTTTTTAGTATTATTGGAAAATGGAACTTTTTTTATTTATATATTTATTTACATTTGTGCACTGTTATTCAGATTAGGATTTTTTCATATACAAAAAACATTTTTAGTATAATACTTACTGTTAATTAAGGATTAAAAATATACTACCCTATAAATTTGAAAACGCTTGCAATTTTTTCGCATTTCACATAAACTTAAGTATCTCGTGAAAAGGAAGAGGATCCATAAGGATCGATTTCGGCCTTATCCAAATTTTATTCAAACCCATGAAAATTTATTCTTTAAAGTCAATTATATTCAAAATAAATTTAAATAATTAAATAATTAAATAATTAAATAATTTTAATTTTTGCTTAAACGGAACGGTGATATTGTCATATTTATTTAATATTTTGAATACAAAATTAATATTTTGAATAGTATGTTTTATTAAAAAACCTAAAAAATCATGGTAATTGTGTTAGAAAATGAGTCGTATAAATACGGCAAACATCACCGTTCCGTTTAAGCTAAAATTACTTAAATTGAATATAATGAACCTCAAAGAATAAATTTTCATGAGTTTGGACAAAATTTGAATAATGTCAAAATCAGCCCTTATAGACCCTTCTCCTTTAATAGATAAGCATTTTAAAATAGACTTTCTTAGCTTTAAAATGCATTTTTTAAAATTGCTATGACAATTTTTTTGCAAAGATATAGAATTTTTTTATTGTATACAATTTTGACTCAATTTTATAAAATTTGTTAAACGGTCGAAAAAGTTTTTAAAAAAAATTGAAAAAATTTATGCAACTTGAGCATTATAATTGATGTTTTTTCTCTTCTGCCTTTTTTTTGTCAACTTATTACCTTAGAAGTTGAAAAACATTTTCGAAGAATTAAGTTTTTACACAATAAAATTTAAATTTTGTCTAATGATATTCCATCCAGGTAGAATGCTTCAAAGAATCTTTATCTTTTTTTAAATTTAGACATTTTTTGAACTTCGTAATTAAATATTTAATTAAACTCTTCTTCCCTGTTGCATCCATGAAATGATCGCGCATATGGACATGCATATGGTCATATTCTCTCAATTGCATCTATATATCTGTCTTGCTTGTCATTTGGAATGCAATGAAATGTTTAATTAAATCGCACAATAACCGATCGGCTGATATGATATCACTAGTATTAGCAAAACTGCCAATGCGATTGTTTAATGCGGTTGCAGCAAGTTTGACAGATATCCAGATGCTATCGTTGTCCTGTTAAATTTTCTCGGCGTCGTTCATTTACGATATGAAGACCTACTTTCGTGTGACATTGGATGTCGGATCTTTCCAGTTTTGCGATCTATCTTAGAAAGAATAATAGTCTCAAAAGTTCTATTTCCTATTGTTAAATTTAAACTTAATTTAGTTGATACTTTTTAATTGTTCTCAATTGCTAAAAATGAAACGAGGATAGAATTATAGATAGATAAATTATAATACTGACATATAATATCAATAAAGAAAAGGAGAAAATTATTATCTCATTTTATTAAAATAATTCAGTTAAATACTCATGTTACATAATTACTTTTGGCACAAGTTTGTTAACCATAGATATCAATTGTGCTACACTGAAAGAAAAGATTGCCTGCTGCAGCAAATTAGATGGTAAAATATGGTATAACATTTTTAATTGGCTGCAGCAGTCAATTTTTGATTGCACCTTTGATTAGCCTATCCGCAATGTCAATATAGAATTCCAATAGGCTAACGCAACCAAAAATTGGTTGCTGCAACCAATTAAAAATGCCATATTTTACCATCTAATTTACTGCAGCAGCCAATCTTTTCTTTTAGTGTAGCGTCTTATGAAACATAGACGTGCTGATAAAATTGTAATGTCCGAGCGTATTTTCATTATAATTACTAAGTTCACTAAAAAAAGTTATAAATCTTAACCGAATTGAACAAACGTATATAATAAATAATCAATAATAAATTATTAGACTTATATGATAAACGCAAAGACAGTCGCTCGATAAATGTGTCAGTTCTATCTTTCTCTCTCATGTGACAGAATCAGAAAGAATGTGATGCAATAAAAAATTAAAGTATATATGAACATTGACAAAGATAGTAAGGAGAGGGAAGTATTAAATCCTTGTAAATTAATTATAATATAGAGTTAAGAAGTTCCGTGTTATTTTTAATGTTCAAGCCATTTATTTGTTTCTTTATGAAAATCTCAAAATTGTGTAGATTCTAATAGGCTGATATAAATAAAAAATAAAAAGCCTTTGAGAGTCGGCGCAGGTTATTTGTTACGAATAAGAATTTATTATTATCAGTTACAAATTACGAAATACGTTTCGACCCACGTTTAAGGTCCTCTTCAGTGACAAGACATTGTAAAATATATAATGAGATTTCTACATTACGTGAACGTTATTAGCTGTTCGGTCGAAGACAATGTGACAGATGTGTTTCGGACATTTACGAAACGTTTGGGGACAGTTCGTGGAGCGTGTATGAATGTTAAAATTTACTAAGAGTCAATGAAGTGTTTAAGAAGTGTTAAAATTCTTTGTTCACATTTTTTTGATACTTCAACAAGCTTTTCATCAGGGTGTGCAATCGGAAATGCTTGATATGAACTGCAAGAAGATTACGAGGAAGAGAATTGGATGAAGAAAGACAGACTTATTTTTTATCTTCGTATTTGAGCTTACCAATTAATGTACAAAGTGCACAGTCGTTCGCGATTTAGCACCGCGGCCCAATTATATGTTAGACCATCCTGTGACTTATGACCTATCTCGATGCGTGTAATTTGCGATAATAATGCGATGCAACGATTGAAAAAGTTAATTAGAGAATGAGCGAAGAACTTCCAGCGCAAAACTGAGTATTGGTATCGGAAAGAATTTGCGTTCGTGTCTCACAAAAAACTTCTATTGAATGTAACTTCTATTGAATGGGATCTGTGCAGCGCTCGCTTTTGCTACTCCGACCTTCTAGAAGATTCGTGACGGTTATGATTATATCCTTGTGCTTCATAATGTAATGTGAAATAATAATAGTGAATTTTCTAATAGGTCGGAAGTCAATTTGATGGTTTCGGCGTTAATGTACGCTCATCTTGCTTTGAATCTCATAGTGAGCCACTAGTAAAGCGTTTGGTTTGCGCTGCAAACAGCAACTTTTAATTAATGAATGTACAACATTATCATGCTACGTTTCTTTGATATAGAGAGAAATCTTTTCACTTTAAATGCATTCTACTCGAGTCTTTTGCGAAAAGACGAACGAAGTCGTCATATATTCGATAAAATCCGTTTTAAGAAATTTTTATCTTTACATTACAGACAGCGTATAGAATCTAAACGCCTTGTTTTGAAAATTTAATTTCGATCCAAATTCTCTTTGATTCCGTAAAGCGTATATACTGCATATAATGTATTATTTTATCCTTGTTGTTTATCAAATGTTAAACAAACTTAAACTGACAAATCATGCGCTTTGCGGAACGCAGCGTTCAGTTGCATTTTATATTTAGAATCAATACTAAAAACTATAGTTTTAAAATTTCGGAAAAAAACCGTTTTTTCCCATTTTTCCATTGATTTTCGCGGTTCCTTTCCCAAAGATAGAAAAATTCGTTAAAAAAATTTATGTGTGTTCGTAATATAAGATTTGCCATATTTACTTCTTTCCGAAAAGAAAATAATTTTAGTTTTCTTTCTACAATTTTTGAAAAAAGCGGCTTTTTTTAAATTACAGAATCAACAGAGTATAAATATTAAAGACAGAGTTGTTTGATTATTGTTGTATTTTACATTCGGATGGTGACATTAAGGCCAATTCTTCGGCATTGGATTCGGAATCATTTTGTCGTGAATTTGAATACAAAAGATCTTCGCGATTCAGATTTTTCATTTCCGTTGCTTGTTTCATAGTAATATTGATCCGATCTTCAGAATTTTTACTAGATAAAGCATCGTCTGAAAAAACATTTATCATTAATTTACATTCCAATTATCATTTCGTGATAATTACCACTATAGCTTTTAATTATCTCAATATTAAACAATAAATTTCATATATACGTATAATAATAATACATACTGTAAAGAACATCTGCGATGCTCTCTTCTTTTTCGATCAAACGAATATATTTGTTATCAGCGAGAATGTCAAAACTTTTCACGACATTGGAATTAAGATGCAATAGCCAGAATTGATTTCTCTCGCTGTTCAATTTTTTCGATAACGTTTCAATACCCTGTCATAGAAAATCACATACAGTTCGAATAGCAGGATCAATAAAAATAAATCATTCATCGATTTTATTTGGCGAATGTTATTCGATACCTTGATTGAAGTGTAATCGAGACTATTGAATATTTCACAATTCATAATCAACGGAACGTTGTTTCCAGCTAAACTCATGACTTTCTCGCAGAAGGAAGCTACTGCGGGATAATAGAGACAGTTTTCAGGTTTTAACATCATATATTTATTTCCTAGACGAGTCTAAAAAAGAATAAATAATTTTAATAGTCTCATTCATGTACACATGTAATTGACATATATGTATATATATATGTATTATACTACATAAATATATATTTATTAAGTATACAGGGCGAGTTATAAATATGTTTTAAAAATTCGTAAGGGGTTTCCCTATAGGCGCATAATATTATTTAATACTAGGTCATATTTTAAGCATATTCTTAGAATATTAAATGTAATTTAATATTTTAAGAATATTACTTAAAATATTACTTAATATTAAATAATATTATGCGCCAATAGGATTCTAGATGAAAAGAAAGAGCAAATGTTCCTATGAACTTTAGATCTCAAATGCTTTGTTATTAAAATAGACACGAATAGATTTAAAATAATGTCATGAATATCAGATTAGTTGTATTCAAGCATATGTATAAAATGATGGAGGATATTTTGAGTATATATTTTTTATAAAGAGAAAAAAATATCTATCTAAAACTTTTAAATAAAAAAAGTCATTGTTTGATACTATCTTTGTATCTTTGTATTATATACTACTACTGTATAAATTATATCGATCCATTCTTTCAATAACGAAACATTTGCGATCTAATAGAAACATTTATTCTTCTTTTTTTATTTATATATAAAAATATACTAAAAGACAAAATTTTATGATAGCAATTTTATTTACTTTGCAATTGACTATTTGAAGCGTCAATCTCGCGGACAGTCGAATAAAAAGAATCAAATTGAAAATGACACCAAGAAGGAGTCCGATTTCAATGCCGATAAAAATGGAGACCACAAAAGTCCCTATCGCTGCGATTGCATCCATTTCTGCAAGAAAACAAGTATATTATGTAAGTATATATGTAAGTACATTGCTTTATCTTCTCATCTAATCTGTGTACACGTGAAAACATAATACTGACTGCTTCCCTTCCAGAGTAATTTTATGATTTTCACATCGATCATGAATAACACAGCGGATATCAGCACAGCCGCTAGTGTCGCTCGTGGAATGTAATAAAAATATGATGTTAAAAAGCTCAGTGCCAGCAATACCATAGTACCTGCAAAGTGCAATGTCATATTTCATTATTTTTTCGTTATATCTTGTTTTGTTCTATATTTATGCCACACGTGTATCTCATATCATTATACAATGTCTCGCTCATGTTGCATATTATACGCTATCGCGCCAAGATTAGAATCGTAAATTTCTCTAACTATGCACAAAATATTAGGTGTGTTGAATAATAATAAATTATGATAAAATATAGTAATTTTTAATAAGAAATAATAATTAAAGCTCAACTAGGTGAATTAAAATTAAAATAATAAATCGTTACATAGAATGACCAACTCTCGATCAGCCAGGAACATCAACCTTAAAATATCGGGACACAACCAAAAAATTCGGGACTTTTTTAGTGTTGTATGTCGCAAAAACATTTTTCATACAAATGTGATTCATTTCAAACATAATAAATTGAATATCAGAAAATGTGAAAAATACGGAAAAATGTTTCAGATAAAAATTGTATACAGTCTTAAAGAATGCAAATATTGGTAAAATTAATTTAAAAAAAAAATCAATTTTTTAAGGTCATATAAACAGTATCGTCTTTTTAAAATGAAATTATATAATTTTTTTTAATGAAATTATATAATTCAATGTGAATCCTCTGATTACTTCGCATATAAAAGTATTAAAGTAAAGTGATCGAAAAATGGCAACAGTTATTTTATATTTTATACTGACACATTTTGATATAAAACGTCAAATATCTCGTAAATTATTAATTTTTTTATAATCGTGTCTTAATACTTATGAAGGGAATTTGAGGCAAATCAATTGGTGTAAAGAAAATACATAGTTGCTTAAAAAAAAAAGTGTAGACAAATATTTTTTGAAAGAAATAATTATCTCCGCGTTATTTAAATTTTATATTCATTTATGTTGCCATATTTTACCATCTAATTTACTGCAGCAGCCAATCTTTTCTTTCAGTGATAAATAAAAGTTCTTCGAGTATACAAAGAATGAACATAATTTATAATAAACTAAAGAATGAAAAAAGCAATATTATGGCATAGAAAAGGAATATAAAATACTCTCAGTAATCAAAAATGGATTAAATAGATTGAAATTTTTATTTTAAGCCTATTAAATCCAATGGAATAAAAAGAAATCTTTTTTCTTATTCTTTTTTTATCTTATTCTTTTTTTAAATCTTATTTATTTAATTCTTGTTATTGTGTTCCATTGAATCCAATTGTATAAAAAAAGAACTTTTTCTTTATTAAATTGGATTGAATTGGATTGAACTGGAGATTCATTTGGATTGAAAAACTGCATCTCTTATTCAGAATTTTAAATTGAGCAGTATACATGATGCACAGAAAAAGTTAATATTACTTTTATATTAAAAGGCATAGAAATGGGCTTCATACAAGTTCTATAAATGAATAAAAATGCATTCTCGGACTGAAAAGGATTTATTTTAACATTCGCGAATATGTATTTCTGAAAATCTGAATCCATTCCAATCCATTCCAATCCATTCCAATCCATTCTCGTTTACTAGGCTACAACTAGTACATACAATTCTTATATAGCATAATTTTTACGTCGGTTACACATTTCGTTACTAAATTTAATTAAGCTATATTATTTGAAAGCCACATTCATATCTTCTCTAAGGTAGATTGAAGTTGCACAATTAACAATCCAGGGGCGCGTTCAGATTCCCATCCAAGTGCTCATCAAGTATCATCTCATATGAGGTCGTTAGCAGTTACAATGAAATCAACGTTTAGCCAATGATACGACTGCCAATTGACAGTAAAGGTTCTATCAATCAGTACTGGGCCATCATTAGCAAATGACTTGCTGACAAATGACGGCCAAAGTTCTGTCAAGCAATACTAGGCCATTACTGGTGACTGTACTATTTGCCAGTACTGCCCAAATTATCATCCAATATTGGATCAGTAGTTTGCCAGTACTGCGTCAGTACCTGAATTATGGCAGTCAGTTCTAACCCAGTACTGAGCCGATTGTACTGATCGTAAAACTCTATATAAGATGTTATTCGTGTTTAATATTCTGTAAGCAACAAGGATAAAATAACCTGGATAGCATTTGAGCGAGAATCTGAACACAGCCCTGGTAACAAGCTCACATCATTTGTCATCATTTTGATGTCAAAATGACAACAAATGATGTTAACTTGGTATCTGAAAAAATTACATAAAGAATACGCACCTGCAAAATTAAAATGCAGTTTTTATGATATTACGGTATAAACACTATTAACCAGTAGTTATAACGTGGTCTAAGCAAATGAACAAATAATTTTGATAGTCGCAGAATACAGTGTAAACTATACAAATATGTAATGTTCCACAATTTCCCGTCTATTTCACACGGCAGTATCTCGCCATGAAGCTGCGCTTGCCTTAGTGAGACATTACTATGTCATTTCTAGATTACCGTCTTCTTTTCTCTACATTGATGTTTCGTATCAACTTGTCATATATTAATATATTATCAGAGTCATGTTATACATTTATATGTTTATTGATGTTATATTGATAAATTGCAAAGAATTTTCATACTTATTTTCATATTGATATGAAAAATTAAATATATAAAGATAAAAAATATATTTCTTATTTTTTTAAACATTTTGTGGAATATATTAAAAAATTAATTTTGTTACATTTTAACTGAAAGTTAAAAACTGTTAACTTTTTATAGTATATTTATACGTTTTATATTCTAAAAAAATTGCAAAGTGCAAGTGTATTTTTAAAATTTCAACTTTAAACTATTATCTATAATTTTATTACGGCTTATTTTTAATAAGAATCAGTTACATTCAATTTAAGCATAAACAATATTGGAATAGAACGAAGAAATTACAGAAACTTTATATGACAAATTGCAAAACGAAAAATTGAAATTATTATAAAAAAAGTTTTATGTAATTCCAGTTTATTATTAGACAAAGTTTCGCAATAAATGCGAGCATTATTCGCAGTAGTTGAATGACTCTTAGTGAGTTATTTTTTCCGATATCTTCCAAAAATATTTTTTTTTTTATGTTGATATCGCGATTATGACGTTCATCGCTCGAGAGCGATCGCGCGTGAAGAAAGTACCATCGAAAATCGTTCATAACGTCTTTTATGCGATGAAACCGATAAACTCGCTTACGTTCTCGCGCAAGAATATTTTTTTTTCGATCTTACACACACACACACACACACACACACACACACACACACACACACACACACACACCACCTTCTATTCACGAGACAATTCGTTTGTCTTTTTGAGATAGATGTTCATATGCATAAATCACAACAACTTCGACATCGTTTCCGGACATCGCGCTTCCTACGAGCCTTTGAGTACAATATCCACGAGAGTTGTTTGACCCGATGAAAGCAATAATTTTATCCGTATCAGTGATCGAACATACTTAAAAAAGCGATCGAAAAAGCTGTTGACATATTGCTGGTATTTTGTACACGTTGAGAAATTCATGCGTCTATAGACACTAAAATATAGATTTTTGCAAACTGCATTGTGCAATTAAAAATGTATTTAACACGATATCTATTATTTATGAAAGCATTTTTTCCGCGATGAAGATTCATTGGGTCTCACGGCACATTTTTTTTCTGTTTCAATTGGAAATATAAATTATAGCGACATATGAGGAAACACTGACATTAAAAAAATATTTCTCACGCCCGTATGTACAGTTATTACGCGTGAAATAATTACGATCGATCTTTTTTACAAGTAATAAATGAATAACGAATTACTCACATCATCTCTCTAGCCTTTATTTCCTTCTCTCTTCTACCTCCGTTTGCTGTTTCTTTACAACACTCACATAACATTTACTCGAGACAACAGTTAATTATACAATCACGCGCTCTAATAATCAGAATATGATAATCACACTTTGCACGGAACTCTTGACGTTAATCGTATACTCAACGTGCATTTTGCTGCATTATGACGAATGAATAAGCAAGTATGATACGTGTTTCAATTCATTCGATATACTCGTTTCCTTGCGGTGGATAAATCTAACGAACGATGGCAGGTTTTTAAAAATTATCTTTGTACAAATATTTAATTTTAATATTTTCAAATGCCATTTAACAATATATCAAAACATAGAATCTGATTAGCTTCTTTGAAAAAAATAGTAAAAATCTTAAAAGTATTTATATCTAAGATTTGTACATATAGCCTTGGTCAAAAATATCAGGTATCTCATTAATTATTATTTAAAATTTTAGTTCAATTGATTATGATATTTGCTATAAATTATGCTTTGTTTCAAGAACTACTTAAATTTATATATAATGCTGGTAGTCAATAACAAAGCAAGTAAAAAGATCCCAGATAAATGAAAAAAATAGGTGTCATATTTTCAACCAAGGTTACAATTTTTTTTGAAAATCTGCAAGTTTTTATTAGATTTATCCGACATTAAATGTCATTTAACGATGTATTAAACATGGAGATAAACTCAAATCGCGTAGCTTCTTTGAATATTAAATTTTATTATTAGGAGTATGATTTAATTTTGAAGGTTTTGCAAAGGATGACACACTAATGTTAGTGTTGTCGAATACATTCCAATCACAATTATTGTTTCTTAATGCTTTATTATTACTCCATGATATTTAGCCATTTACTAACAATAAACGCAGTAAACATTGTGTTTATATCATTTAAAAAAATGGAGTTTTCTAAAGAACATTTTTTGACATTGCTTTTGTTTTTTAATCAGAAAAAAACGGCGGCTGAAAGTTAGAATTTTGATAGAAACTTATGATAATGTTGCTCCATCAATTAAGATGTGAATTAACATTAACATGTGAATATTGGTTCAGACAATTCAAAAGTAGTGATTTTAACGACAAAGATCGCTCGAGACAATCAAATAAGCTGAAAATGCAGATTTGCAAGCATTATTGGACGAAAATCCAGCATAATCCACTTCAGAACTTATCAGAGAATTAAATGTTGACCGTACAACAGTTACTAAACGTTTACATGATATGGAAAAGATTCACAATGAAGGAAAATGGGTTCCACATGAGTTATCGGAAAATGACATTGCGAACCGATTGAACATTTGCATTTCGTTGATTGCCAAACAAAAAAAAGAAGAATTTTTTTTATCGAATTGGTGATGAAAAATAGATCTATTTTGATAATTC